CCCCATCTCATACTTGATATCCTATTTTGAGGGGGGGGGGCGGTTGTGGGGGCACATCTATTAAAAAAATAAAAAAACTAACAGGGCCAACGCACGCACAAATGCCATGACTGCTTTTCTGTCCCCGTCTTGAGTGCAACAATTAAGCGAAAGAAGCAAATGTAATTCCCTTCCGCTTTTGTTTGTTTTACTTTCTTATCGGGGCTTTCTTGCGATTTTGCACTTTTGAAGTTCTGGATGACTTGATGTGTATTATTTGTCTCCTGGACTTTGAAGGCACGAGGCCTAATGCACGTAAGGCCACAGTGGAATCCTCTCTAATGAGTAAAAGCTGTTGGCAAGCGTGTAGTGGCCATAACGTGCTTCTGTGTCTCCGAGATCCCCTTAGAAGGAAATATTTCTTGGAAGTGGGAGGAATTTTGAAGGCTATTATTTCGTTGTGCTTCTGTGCTTGTTTTTCATTTGCGTTAAGGCTTGGACCCTGCAGTGAAATCCGATCAGCCTTTTCTCTCCGCTCTTTATTTTTATTTCCCCCTTTCGATTGTTTGATGTTGTCGTTGTTTTGTATATTGATGTCCGCCTCTTCTCAGGACACCAACAGCCACAGTATGACACTTGGCTTCTTATTCCCATGCAGTTCAAACCATTCAGACTGTACTGTGCTGCTCTCCTTACTGGAAGGCAGCTAGACGACACAGATCCCGTTATTTTCCCTGCGTGACATGTGCACGGTGAACCTCAAACACCCTGATGTTTGTGGAAACTTCACATTGGCTTTTGTTTCATTTGTGTTTGGAGTCACAGCATCCACTGACATGGACTCACGTTTGTAATTTACTGCAGGAAAAAAATTGCTGTGATTTTTATTTATTTATTTGTTTGTTTATTTATTTAATTAATTATCTCGTCAAGGGAAAAAAAATTATTAAATAATACAAAGATACAATATACAAAATCACAGCAATTTTACAGCAAGAATTTGTTTTTTTGTAGTAAATTGCGAACATAGGAAATACTGATCTCTGATATCCTGTTTGGAAGTGGCTGAAGTCCCATCTTAAATTAGGGGAGCTTAATTGATGTTTACACTGTAAAAATGATAATGACTGGGATATTGTGGGATATTGGGAGACAATGTACTGTAATGCTCTGCTGACTGTGTGAGCAGCGTTGTAGACAAACTGACATAGCTTCTATTACCCGTAACTTACATGGCATTCCTTACTCACATTCCTTATATAGCATTCTATGGGCAGATTAAAGAACAAGCTGTTTCTATTGTTTGACTTACTTTGATCTAACTTAAGTACTTTATAAACGTAGCCAAACACCATTATTTGCATGAGTATGACGTTGTTGTTGTGGTTATTAAGTTAGTAGTTTAAGTTTATTCTTTTCTTCTTTTACCTTTGACAATAAGCCAACCTTAAGAAAACTCCGTATACTCTGTATAGATGTAACTCCCAGGCTTTTTTAAGAGTACACACCTGTAATTTGGTTTCAAATATATTTTTGTTTTAAATGTAGTTTTATGATTAATTGGCATCAAACCATCCTTATACTGTTTTGTTTGGATATGAAGGTATTGGAATACATGAGTATTAGTTGAGTATTAGTTGAGTATTAGTTGAGAACATCACCACCATCCTGTTCATGTTAGCAGTTTGTAAGGACAAGCGATTCCTCAGGACCAGCAGCAATTGGGGTTCCATAACTGTATTTTTTATTGTACGACATTTTCAAATACACAGATTTCCTCATGCAGTCCAGTAGTGATGAACTGCTATCCTGTCCTGGAGTTACTCTTACCTTTTGATCTTTGCTGCTTTCCTAACCCCCCCCCCCCCCCAGACCATCTCCAGGATAAGTGGTTGGAGGATGGATGGAAAGGGCTCTCAAATCCAATCCCCTGTCATTCGAAATCGAAAATGTAATTAATATGACTCATTATGCCATAATCTGACTACAGTCGATTGAAGACAATTTAGTTGAAGTATGTGACACTGATAACACAATGTTTAAAAATCAATTTTATGAATGAGCTATGATGAAACATTAAAATCAAAAGGACATATTCCCTGTTGCTTTAAAAGAGGATAATTAATGGTGATTATTAGTGCAGTAGGACCTGATTTCCATCAAGTTAAACGGTTTGGATGAAACAGTCCTGACTGACGGGCTTTGTTTTGCATTCAATAACTTCTTCATGAAGATGTCTAGGATTCTTTTATTATAGGATGTCTGTTTGCCATACAGCAATCTGCTACTTGGGATTAAGAAGGTGAGTAAATACTGAATCGCTCAGCCTTCCTGTGCTTGCATGGCTCCATGGTCACGATCTGATTGCCCTCAAACTCTACAAGAGACCATGTGTGAGAGCCAAATTGGGGTTAAGGAGAGACCTTCTTCAGTGTCCTGCTTGTAGTGTGAAAGCAAACCTATGATGCTGCATTTAATGAGGAAAGAATTTTTATTATCCACCTTTTTCTCTATTTGATTGCTTATGAGGCAGTTAAGGGTAAGTCAGGGCAAAGATCTAATGTTCTAATGTTCTAATGTTCTAATGCCAGTCACTAGCTCCTTCAAGGCTATAACTTCATTCTTCCCATGGGGGCAACTTCTCCTCACATTCCCCGCAAATTTTCCATGGCGCTAGAAGCATGGCAGAACTACCGAACTGCTCAACTATTTCGCTTTCAAGAAAATCTTTCATGAGGTCTTATCCTTACTTCTGAAGGGAATCGCCACAGATGTTTCAGTATGGGTGTCTGATGCTTATGCACCTTCAAATTGTTATCTAACATAATGTCATGACAGGAGATGCATTCATGAAATCATGTTATTTTGCCTTCAGTTTAATCTCTAGTTGAGAGAATCAGGGAAATTGATTTACGTCTTGAGTCGTTTGAGATGCAACTTGCTGTCAGAAAGCATCCAACATCCAGACATTTTTGCTGTGACCAGAAAAGCACAATATCACTAAACTCCCTGTGGTGCCATATTCTTTTTCTATTTTGGTAAAATAGCAGGTAAACACTAAAGGGAAATAAAAATACATATTTTAATTATTTTTTTAATGTTGAAAATGTTTTCAAAATATTTGTTATTTTTAATGTTATGTTATGTTATTAATTTGCCCTGTTCCAGTAACTACTTTGTTTTGGAGAGAACGAGCTCTTTCTCATTCCGGGGAAAGAGGCATGTTTGGTAACCCTACTGAAGACCTGGAGGTAGCTTTGCCCAGTGAAAAATTCTCCTCAAGGCCAGCGTTGATGCTCGTAAAAGTGTTTTTTCTGGCAGAAAGAGAAACAGGAGAGGGGAAAAAAAGTTCCTATGCAAGCACAACAGTTTGTGAAGTGTTGGTTGTAATGAGAGGCAGGATGCTGGAGAGCTGGAGAGCACGTCTTTAGCAAGGGATTATGGGTAAGATGAATGGGATAGGTTTACAGTTGGGAAAAGCCCCCACAGCGGCTGGGGACACAGGGTGAGGAGAGCCAGCGTGTTTCACGGGGCAGAGAGAGGGCATCCCCCCCACCTCTGCCCCTTTTCCCTACATAGGTGCTGGGAACAAAGGTCCCCTTGTGCAATGTTTTCCTCATCGCTTCAAGCTAGAACTCTGTCGTGTTGCCATGTAGATGACTAACAATGGTCTGTTTGGGTTTCTCTGTAGGAGCGGCCCGTGCGCACCTGTGGGAACCCTGGCAGGGAAACAGTCTCCACGTGTTCTTTTCTATTAAAGTGTTATTATTGACAACCACAGGTTTCATAGTAAACATTAGACAGTGGGGCCCCACACTGGAAAGTTTTGCGTGTCTATGCGTGTGTGTGTGTTTGAGCCATGTTTTTACAAGGTTTTATGGAAGGACAAATTTCAATAAAACTGGCACTTATACAGTTGTGTTGTTGTTGATCCAAGAGAGGATCTGGAGATGAATGTTAAATTGTTACTGTCACAGTTGGACCAGAGCCTTTTTAGAGTTATTTTGGAGCTATTTTCCAATAAGCTGCCATGGTACTGTAATGAAATGGATGTAAATGTCACTGTCCCATGCAAGTACCTTAACTGAATGGTTGTTTTTTTCTTGTTTCTATACACACACACACACAGACCTGTACTCATATCTTTATGGGGACTTTCCATTCACTTATATGGGTATAACACTAATCCCTATGACAACCTTAACCCCTACCCAGCCCTAACCATAACCATAAGTAACCAAACCCCTGGAAACTGGTGCCCATAAGGTCAAAAAATGGGCATTCATCATGTTGTGGGAACATTTGGTCCCCACAAGGTAAGGTATATGTGGACCACACACACACACACACAAACCAAATCACCTATTTGTCTACCTATATACACTCCCAGGACACTTTCTTAGGTACACGTTGCTCAGGACTTTGGTCCATGTTCACATGATACTGTCACACAGTTGCTCCCTATTCATCTACTGCACTTTCATTATGCAAATGACCTATTTGCATTGTTGTACAGTTTTATTGTAGTTATTATACAGTTTTTTTTTGTAATATTGTATGGTTATGCTACATTTACTCCTCCTGTGCTGTCCTGGGCTGCTGTAACATTGGTAATATCCCACCTGTGAGATTAATAACAGTTTGTCTTATCCTTATTCTGCTGGAAGTAGCCATTAGAAGCTGGGTCATAAAGGGACAGACATAGTCAGCAACAATAATAAGGGTAGGCTGTAGCATTCAAAATAATGCTCAGTTGCTACTAAGGGGACAGAAGTATGGCAAGAAAACAACCTCATGCCATTACACAGCCACTGACAGTCTCAGTTGTTGATACTAGGCAGGGTGGATAGAGCTTAAGCCAAATTCTGACCCTACTATCTGAATGTTGCAGCAGAAATTGACTCATCTGACCAGGCATCTGGAGATCATTGGTTGCCTCTACCAGCCAAAGGCGAATCTAGCTGGAAGACTGATGTACTTCAAACATGTAAAGCTTACCATTCACCCTGTGTCTTCTGCAGGTTATTCCATTTCCGATGTCCTGCGACATCCGAGAAGATTGCGCCTGCCGGGACCCCAACGCCCAGGAGCACAGCAAGGGGGGGCTTCCACATTCCCTGGGCTGAGTCCAGCGATCCCCTGAGTGGCCCATACATTCCTTGCTACATTGCTGCTTACAGGAGTACCTCTCCATTCATATTGCACCCCTACATGTCTGTCGACTTGCCTTCTCATCAGGAAGAAAATAAAAGGACTGAAGTGGGTATGAAACAATTTACACCAAAATAAAATCACAATGGAATGAAAGAACAAATGAACAAACAAACAGAAAAGAACCCAACGACACATGAGAAAATATAGTTTTACACAAAGAAAGGAAACCTGAAAAGAAATCACGTCACTGTAGTTTTGTGCGGCTTTACTCACCATTCTGTCCTTTATTGTCTTGATTTTCCTAAGATAAGGAAAAACTGAAATTGCTTGTCAGAGACAGATGAAATAACAGATCCACATGGAAATATGTGTTTGGTTGAATATTTAGGGAAAAGTATCAACAATGTATATATCAAGAAGTAATAAATGAGGGAATATATACACATACATACATACATATATGTGTGTGTGTATGTGTATAAATACAGTAACAATATATAACGAAAAAAAAATATCTGAAAATAACATAAAAAAAAAAACCTGTTACTGACATTGTAACCTGTGACCATTTATAAGCCCTTATGATTATCATTTTTATTTATCTGTATGCTCATAATGGTTGTTCTGCAAGTGAGAAAAGAATAGAAAACAGAGAGGGGAGAGTCCTAAAATTGGACCTTTCAAAATTAAATCATAATGGTTATTTATTTGGGTCACGGGTTATAAGTGTTGAGTGCAGAGCTGAGATTTGATTTGGCTGAACTGAGGAAGAACGTGTTTTCTTTGTTAATTAAAAGAAAAAATACACTAGAAGAAAATAGTACCTATATTGTCAAATTACAATATAGTCTGATTTGAAATTCATCGGGGAAGAAGATGATTATGGGGAAAAGTGACGAAGATCAGTTGCATTAGTACAGCTGTCGCTGCTGCTAATTTTGCTGCTATTTGCCATATGGCCAAACATCCTGATTCTGCAGACTATTCATGTGAGACCGTGATGCTCAATAGTGTATTATCCGCTTAAAAGGTTACCTCTAACCGTGATACATAAATGTACGTGCGTGCGTGTGTCTGAAAATGCTACAAGTTCACACAGAGTAAATGCCTTCAAACGTATATAAATATACATATATAATAGGTTTGTGAGGACGTATCCATATGTGTCTCTGCATGGGTTTACACTCACAGATGTACACCTTGGCTTCTCAACTCAGCCATGATAAGTAGCTGGTAGTGGATTTTATAGACTTGACATGCCAAAATAATTTCTGTCCTTCACATACAGAATGCCCTCAAAACACAAATGCCAAATATAAAAAACTGTAAAACCTCTGATATTAGTAGGGCCATTTTTTAATTACTTAGAAAAAATAATGGGGGAGATATTGGTGGATGTATGATTGTATATCAGTATGCAACTATGAAACATGTACACACTTGAAAAATTGGCTTCACAAACTTGTCTCTGTATGGTGTTCATGTTGTATCTTATTAAGGACATATGAACCTTAAGAATTAAGCAACATTTTTACGGCCCTATACATAACATATATAACAATGATGTATCAATGCTATTTCCATCATTTCTCTTTTTTTCCTGCAGTGTTCACCAGCCTGTTTATGTATTTCATTGTGACATTAAGAATGTAACTTAGGACAATAATCTCCTCAGTGTCAATAAGGTAACATGAATCATTGATTCAGGCGTTGTGGCAATCACCTTTCTGACTGCTTATTTTAGTCGCAAACCAAATAGAGATGATCATTTACATGTCTCCAGTTAATGGTGAAAGCTAGTGAAGTGATTTTTATGTCCAGGTGAAGTGGCAGAAGGGCTGGATTCTTTGTGATGGTCTTGGTGACTATAGCTAAGAATCTGACCAAGACTGTATCAGTAGGTCCCAGATAATGATTGTGCTGTTCAGATTTATTCGCAAGGCCCATTTCTCACCTGCCTGTTCCACATTGTTACTTTCTTGCTGTTATTAGGTCTATTTTTAAGCTGGAAATGAGGGGCACATGGTTCAAAACTGTTTAATATTTTTGGAGGGAAATTCTGACAGCTAAAGAGAACACACCTTTTACCTCTCTTTCTCGTTTACCTTCTGAAAATCAGAGAAATATGAACACACAAAGATGCAAAATCCCTTTTAAAGACCCTTGTCTAATGTCAGAAGTTACCCCCTCCCCTACCACCCAAGCCCCCTAAAAGATATATATCCCATCAAGAATGGTTTTTAGGTGGGATGCTGTTTCACAGGCTCTTGTGTAAAGTTACTAGGGACCATCGTAAGCATGTCTGTGCTGTTCTTCCTCCTGCCGCTTCTCTAACCTGGTTTTTAACTGTGGCTTCTTCTAGGTCATTACCTGTGTTGTTCGGAACAGTCTCTGTCATACTGTAACACACTCATACTGCAGCTGTACTCTTGACACGTTTCTCTGGATTGAGAGGTTTACCAAAAGTTACGTGTCTATTACTCGCCATTATGTTGGAGAAATGGGCAGGAGTTTTCTGTAGATTTTGTAATGTTGGTTTTGTGAATAGCATTAGGTCTGGAAGGAATGAGTATATGAAATGTGTAGTATATTTTTATTTTTCTTGTTATTGCTGTTCTTGTTTTTGCAAGATGTACTCATACTTAATCAGTATTCCTGTTATTGACCTCAGTTACTGCACTTGTTTTTTTGTACAGTCATTTTAAAGTCTACTTTTAAAAAAGCTGCTAAAATCAAACAGGTTTATTTTTTTTAAAGTGTAGTATATTTTATTTTGACTCTGTTATTATAAAATGTTAACCATTCATTTATTATTGTTGTCAATGTGGATTTATCCCTTATCTTTTCACACACATTTAGAAATCTGCGTCTCTTAAAACATTCAGATACTCTAAAGTCGAGAAACCGTACCGAGTAAAGTGCAGCTACCGAAACAAGGACAATCAGAGTAAGAGATGTCATGGAAATGAAAGCCAGCTTACTGTAGCCGCATGGCCTGCTTACATTGTACAGTAGCTTCTCCAAGACCAAGCAGTAAAAAGTGCAGGAGACAACTAAAGGAGGAGGTTGTACAGTAGGTTTTAAAGATGACAGTTAAGTACGATTTGTTTTTCTCAATATGTAGGTCAGGTAAGAGAAATGTATTGTTCTGCGATAGTTAATCCACATGTGCTTTTTTATGATACTGTCAAATTGTATGTAACTGTATGCAAAATACTGCTGCTTTAAACATATTACCGATAGGCAGGGAGTGCACAACATATAATTGCGATACAATACCAGTTCATATGACTATTAATGAATAGATATGTAGAAGTATATGAAAATGAAATAAACCATCACTTCTCAATGCTTAGAGGACTCCTGGAAAACAGCCACACAACCAATCTGTTTCCTCTCATCAGCTCAGGATCAATATACACATGATCTCCCTCCAATGAGCTGATCAAATGTTAGTACTGGACCAAGCTGCTTACCTGTCATTCCCCTGTATCTCTTTTTCGCAGCCATTCTCATTGATAATCTGTTTCTTTGCTATCAGCAAAACTACAATTCAAAACTGTGATCAGTTTCTTTTGTCTGACCGTGATTGCCCTTGTGAAACACACAACTAAACTGTATTTTTTCTTTTTTTATATACTGCCTTTCTCAAGCCATGAAAACGCAAATTAAATAAATGAAAATTCTGAAAAAAAAATGTTAATGAAAAGGGAAAAAGAATCATTGACAGTCTACTGTAAGCACCACAACATTTTTTGCTTTACCTCATGCCTGTAATGTTTGCTGCTTCTGTTTTTAGCTATTTTAGTAATTTAAGTCTCATAGCAATATATAATGGTGTAAATAGTAGAATTATTTATTGAGAATGTCATCTTTTTAATTTATATTCACACAGTGTTCATCTAAGTTATTTTTTGCCTTTTACCATTGTAATATTATTTGATGTGAGGTCAATTATTTTTTTCTGTCATCTGTCTCTGATTTTTTTTTCTTTTCTTGTTCCCATAAACTACAGGTCTAACCTTACTGCAGTACACAATTAAACAAAAGAGAACACAATATAATCCACAAAATGTTTCCCCATGTTTTTTTTACCCCTCCTTTTTTAAAATGTCTCTTCCCCTTTAATTATTTTCAGATACACACTAAACATTATTGTGTATTCAAGGGGTCCTCAAAGTCTTGTTTAGAACAAGGATGTACAGTAGGGTTTTGATAGATTTAAATAAGATTTTTTTGAGAGGGCGATGGAATGTTGCTGTAAATTATGTAATAAATAAGGCATATGGATCCAGATTCTGGTTAATCAGGCGTTGTGAGGAGGTCCAGCTGTATGTTCAGATGTAGCATAAGGAACAAAAGACTTTAACAGAAAATATCACTGGGCTATCTGCTTTTTCATGTAATTTGGTTTTTGAAGTAATTGCCAAATGCAGTTTTGGGATTTGGGTTGAGTTGTCCATTGAGCATTTGTTACATGACATGTAAGAGGTTTACCATGGAAAACAATCTCATAATTCTCGTATTTGTCTTAATGCGTGACTTCATTCCACACCAAATATGCAAAGTACTATTGAAGTTCATGTATTATATAATTAAAATATATATATGTGTGTCTCAAAGAGCAGGCTTTAGACAAGGTCAAAGACTTTATTCATTGTTTTGATGTTAAACTTTACTATAATGTTTGCAAGTCCTATGGCATGTGTTCATCAAAGATCATATTTTATTAAAATAAAATGTTTACTTAAATTAAGCATATATTTTAACATAATTGCATAATTAATAAAGCTCCTTTGGACGTTTGGAATTCTCCATAATGGTATCAGGGCATCCCAGAAATTCTGTTGGTAACAGTGGCACCAATCTGTCCATTACTTTGCTCCATCTACAAAATGCAATAATCTACAAGGAAGAGATTGTTTCAGCAGCTGTGCTGCACCTTGTTGCTCATTATCCCTCTGTCTCTTTCTCCATCTTCCTGTACTCTTTCATATATTAATATTCTAAATAATTGTATTTTCTCCTGAAGTAGGGGTGAATTTTTGTTTTGGATATAATGCAGATCATCCCATATAACGACATGTTGGTATTTGGTTTTAGTACAAAATAATAATAATAATAATAATAATAATAATAATGATAATAATAATAATAATAATAATAATAATAATAGCAGTTTCATTTGAAGGCATTACAGTTGTTAAGTTCCAAATTGTGGTGGCTTACGTTTTCAGAACTAAGACATTTTTCGATTATTTGTATTTTGCGCTCATTTCATTTCAGTTTTAATATTAACTTTTCCCTTGTCTGTCCCCATCTTCCATTATCTTGTTCATAATTTATGTTACATAATTCAGTTATAGTATGTCCTCATCAGGAAAATGTAAAGCATTTATTTTTGCTTATCACTGAGGGACAAGAATGTGACTGAGAATTTAGAAGTGGCATATGAAAAGACTTCAGAATTCACATTATACAGTAGGACACACCTACCATCTGAATGCGAAACTTCTTTTGTTGGTTACCTCGCACATGTTCAGTAGTGAAGACATTCAGACAGGTCAAATTTCATATTGTACTAATCAAACATTGGCTGGAATATGGGTTCCTCAGTTTTCAGTTAAGTCAGTGTTTGGGAAAGTAGTCCTGCAGCCATAAAATTGGATAAATACCACCTCACAAGAAACAAAAAAGCTTTTTTTAAAAAAAAAAAAAAAAGTTACATAAAGTTTAAAGTGCTCCTGTTATTTGTCATATTTCATATTTCCCTTTTGTATTGTACATTTTGAGTTAATGTTTATTAAAAAAATACGCATCTCAGTCAATTGCAAAATTTGTTTTGCTAGCAAATCCAAGGAAATGGAACAAATTGAAGGTTTCTTTGTAACAACTTAATAAAACCATTGCTATTAGATGAACAGAGAATATAGTTATATTTCCGGAGCAGTTCCTCCTCTCAGTCATGTCATCTTCAGTGCAGTAGTCGGCACTCCTGGATCGCTCTGCCTCCCTACTCCCGTTTCAGTGTAAACTTTCATAGAGGCACTGAGTGTACACAACCAAAAGCCCCCCAATCTCTCCCCCCTGAACACAACACACCTTTCTTCATCGTGTGCCTGCTATGTAACTAGGCAGAGGGTTAGATCTGTACTTCTACACTGTTATGGTATCCATACGCACTGTTAATCCTGGTGGAATCCACTCCGCTCAGTCCATGCATCTAATGCACTGTTTTGGACACTTGCCACAACCCTTTTATGTTCAGTTGATTTTCTACAGTTCTAAAATCATCTTATTTTCTCTTTATATATATATATATATATATATATATATATATATAAATTTTCCTTTTGGTGCTCTGGTTTATCATGAAAAATACATCTGGTGTACTGTATATTTTCATAGGTTCCAAACGATTAGCAAAAAAAATGTTACTTTTCTTGTATGTATTGTTTAGAAATAAAACACTGGTTAAGTACAAGTAAACTGCAGTGGCGTTGTGTACTTTGTTAAGATTGTAAGAGAGTAAGAAAATTTGTTTCAGAATATGAATCACAGCGAGTAGTTATTAGAGGCACAATGTCACAGTGGGCCTGAATTCATAGTGGAGTACCACAGGGTTCAATTTTAGGACCACTATTGTTCCTAATTTACATTAATGATATTGACACCAATACATACAGTAAACTGGTTAAATTTGCAGACAACACCAAGGTGGGTGGTGTAGCAGATACTGATCTAACAGCAGAGAGGCTAGAACGGGATCTGGATTTAATTAGCGACTGGGCGGATACCTGGCAGATGAAATTTAACATAGATCAATGTAAGGTAATCCATACAGGGAGCAGAAATATAAAGTACAGATATTTTATGGGTTCCACTGAAATAAAGGTAGCTGATTACGAGAAAGATCTCGGGTCTGGATGCTGTTCAGCCAAATGGCTATTTCAATATTAGTTTAAATACTAGAACTCGTGGCCATAAGTGGAAATTAGCGGGAGAACATTTTAAATCGAATTTGAGGAAGCACTTCTTCACACACCGTGTAGTTAGAGTATGGAATAGTCTTCCTGCTAGTGTAGCGGAAGCTAAAACCCTGGGTTCCTTTAAATCAGAGCTAGATAAGATTTTAATAATTCTGAACTATTAGTTAAGTTCTCCCCAAACGAGCTTGAAGGGCCGAATGGCCCCCTCTCGTTTGTAAATTTCTTATGTTCTTATGAATCAGGTGCTATGAAAAGCAGGCCACTAAATCTGAGATGTTGTCCCCTTGAACAAGGAATTTTGTTAACATCCAGTTTTATTAGTTTATGCGTAGAACACAGAATAATATCTACTTACAGTACTATAAGACTGCCATTATAATTATTAGAACAGGAAACGATTAACTTCCCACAGATAACATGTAAGGCATAAAGCACGATAAGCTGACCAATTACACGACAATAATCAACGGCATGTTGGTGTACTGCTGGAGTGATAATTTTTGTATAACTGCACACTTCAAAGTGGTTTATCCTGCTTATGAGAAGGCTAATGAACAAAATGTAATAATAAAATACTCACGGTGAATTTTTCAAAAGATAATTATTTAAATTAACATTTAACAATGTTTCAATGTAATCTTCAAAATATACAGTGGTGCCTCAGTTCTTGAACTCATTATAGCTTGAATTTCTTAAAAGTCGAACCAACCAGTTCGAAAATTTTTTACCTAGAACTCGATCTGAATCTCAGAAGTCAAACCTTGAATGCCGACCTAAGATAACTTGTACGCGCGGGGAAATGAGTCACGCGGCACGTCTCTCAGCGGAAACTAAGGGTATCGCGTCAGTCTCAGCCTCGCATTCACTGTGATAGCATCGTGCATGTTTACACTAGCTGAATACATATATTTAGACAGTAAAAATACATTTAGACAATGATAGACAGTAACAGTAATTATTATAATAAAATAAATTTAAAAATAAAAATTTCTTATTAATTATTTTAATATTAATAATAAACCATTAATACATTTAATTATAATAATATTGTTGTACCCAGTGGGGACGGAAAGGAGACAAAGGCGCAGACATCAGGGTATCAGGGAATACAGGGTTTAATTACAGATAAGGCAGGCAAAACGCAGACGGACAATACAATGACCGGACTGGGGAAACAAACTGAAACGCGGACGAAATATAGAGGACTAATGACAACAACCAGAAACAGCTGATTACGTGGGGATTCCACACGAGGTTAACGGGGGGGCGTGGCACACGGAAGGAGCGGACGATTGGGGCAGGACCCATTGTTTGGATACATTTATTTTCTTACTTTACAAATTGCTGTTTTGATAAATGTGCTTAGATGTATTTAGTACAGTATATGCTCTTATTGTTTTATCCGGTTCATTTTGTGTTTAAATGCTAAAAAAAACATATTTCGGTGTAATTTTTTGGGGCCGGGAAACAATTAATTGGTTTTCCATTATTTCTTATGGGGAAAATTTGATCAGAACTCAAACTTTTTAGTATTCGATCTGGAGTTCTGAACAGATTAAGTTCGAGTTCTGAGGTACCACTGTAATCCGGATACTCAGGATACTCACTGAAAGCAGTAAAATTAGAAAAACATCTCTGATAAGAAACTGTCAGCTGAACTGCGCCTGCGATTTGAAAACTAAGAAAAATGATGCTGATAAGAATGACTGCTCTTTATGAGTAAAAAGTCACACAGGTTTTTATATTAATACGTTTAATAAAATATTAAAACACAGTAATATAAAACTGCAGGGTTGCCGAAACTACCTGTGCGGTTACACGAAAATAATATCTCTGGACCAATACGAAAATAGTATTTACCAAAGCCGTGGTATAATCCTTGAATAATCAATAATAAGTACATTTATTGGGTCTTCAAAATGTCCTGGAAAACAAGAACACGCCTTTGAGCAGTATTTGTTTCTACTCACCATAGAACGGTATGAAGGCTAAATTCAGCCAATAAAATGACAAAACAAACTTCTTATGCTGGTGTCAGGCCAGTTCCAATACTCCCTCTGACCTTGTCTTGGAGTTAGTATAATAATGCTTCCATATGATGGATTTTGCGCTGATTTGGTTTCATTTACTACTGTCAAAAAGTCAGCCATCGATCAGGAAAACCTTATGCTTATGGAATCTTCTGTTTGCCAACCGCCAGATTTAACACTAAGGCTATGGTCAGTGAGATCACTCAGCAGGGACATTCAGACCCTGTTTACTGTCACCTACGTAGAGGCCACAGAGTTCAGTTAACTGGACGATTGCAGCAGATTATTTCCCCCCTCAAATCTATGTTTACAAATCTGTATATTTGACAGTTTTCAAAAAGTAGGAAACCAGAAAAACACCTGGCAGAATCGCCAATCGGGGTTGGGGAACCGCTGACGGCATAAGTTGCGCAGGATTGACTGAAATTGAAATTACACATCTGTGTGTGAAATATAATGAAAAAAATTACTCAAAATATATGCTTGGAGAAAAATGAATGCATTTACCTCTGGTCTATGAGGTCAGAGTGCTCCTGTAATTTATTTATTTTTTTTCATTCTTGTTTTGAGGGATTCTGTTGTTAAATTGGAAAAAAAAAATTGCGTCACTCCAAGTCTAATGCTTTAGTAACCAAACCACATACAATTTCTGAATGCTTCAATCACCTATGTGTAGCCAACCCCTATGTCTTTAAGCTCCAGAGCTCAAAAGTCTTGGCTAGAAACCCTATAATGTGTTTTCTTATAATTTCTCAGCACCTCTGAAAATTAGCTTTTGAAAAGTGTTTAAAGCTGATTTAAACAACAGAAGAATGACATTCTAAATGGTCGCAGATTATTGGTGCTGAGTTTGTGCTGAATAAAAGTATTTGTACCACTTTGGGATAAATGTATTTTAGATAGATCAAATATTTCAAAATATCAAGGCATGTCAGGCTACCTCAAAAGTGACTGAGAGGCTCAGACTCCAGAGAGTTAATAATATGGGTTCAAATGTAGTTATATTAATGTTAATTCATGATGTGTTAATGTTTATTGCTGTTTTTCATTATGTTTTCTTTTCATCCTTGATTTGTGCTGCATGCAGACTTTGGTATTTAGTTTTTTTTTAATAAGAAATTCATTACACCTGTATGACACAACCAACATTGATTTTGTTGCATCTAAGGTCCTGTAACACAATCTGTGCTCTCCAGTTCTTCTCCTGGGCCAGATGTTGACCAACTCAGTCCTATACAATATGTTACTTTTTATTGTAATTATCATGGTTCTTCTGTGTCCCTCCTAACAATGATTTCACTATTCCAAAAGTTCAGCATTTTTTTTTTTTTTATAAACGTTTGCAGCACATTCAGATGCACCTTTCACCTACAGTATCATACCCCACAAAGCAAATTCATCTAGTCTGTATGTTACATCTTGTGTTTCGGGTGTGAAGTGGTACTTGTAGTATGCATGCAAAGATTCCAATGCTACAGTAAATGCCAAAATGGTATTATATGGCTTATAAAGCTCGAAATGATATTAGAATAAATACAAATGAGGGCCCTTGCACTATAATTGTGGAATGTAAAATACTGGGCACAGATATTCAGCTCTTACCCTCTACCATTTACTCTCCACCTTACTAACAAAACTAATCACTGTCCATCAGACAAATTGTTACATGACACAAGCAATTACCTATAATTATCCATTCAAAGAATCCTCATACGTCATGAAAAATTACTGACGAAAATGAAAACAAATAGTAGTTTTTCAGTTAAATATTAAAAATGTTTTATTTACTGTACCTCCATCATTCATACTTTTGGAATTTTTATGCTCCCAGATTTTTGCTGATGACTGTGTCTGATGCATTCCCATAATCCCATAGTTTCTTTCCAAATGTTGAAAACATCAAAACTTGAGAATCTGAGGAAGTATGTCGTGTTTTTCTGATTTAGAAATCCCGTCTCACACATTCATTTTGTGGTGAAAACTCCCATCTTAGCTGTTTTTAAAAAGGCTTAATTTATCTCACTGTAATCTTAAGCATTGAAAAAAAAATCAAAAGAATAAAGGAATTATTATATTAAATGATTGGAATGACTGGAATGCCTCACCTTAGTACAGAAATTGCAGCTAGATGACAATTTTGTGTTTTTCGTATATACCTTCAGTCTTACTGCAAACAGAGTACTCAGTAGTGCCCACTGAAAACAAAACTTACGGAAATATTAACTCCACACCTGGCAAAGACAGTTAATAAATATGAATTAAAAAAATGTCAAAACACTAAAAGAATTGTTTGATAACCAAGTTTTTTTTCTCTCCTTATGTTTAGCAAATCCTGTACTATCCTGTAGTATATAAACAGTTTTTGGATGCTTAAAAAAAGCTTGAATTTCTTTTGCATTTTTCATTTTATGACAAAAAGTAATGATACTTAAACCATTCTGTTCAGTATGATAAATTTTAGGTAATAAGTCTATACATCTATTTATGCATTTATTTATTACATTGACAAAAAATGAATTGGTTCTGGTGTGGGTAGTCACGCTTTCTGTTTAAACAGATCGATAAGTGTCAACATTTGCACAGTGAACACTTTTTCCTGCACCTCAGACATCACTGTAGTGCTGCATATCTCTACGGCATAATATTGATGTTATTAGAAATTTATTATGATCATATGCAGGACCTGAATGATTCATTGTCAAACTATTGTACATGGAGGTAGTGTTAGTGTTTAGCTTGATCTGATGGCCTGCATTTTTGTGTGTGTTTATTTTAGGTGTATTTGGGGCATTTGTTTCTTCATTTAATCCTTGCACCATTATATATTTTACTGTATTGGACTATGGATTTTATTATTACAAAATATAGACAGAGATATTAAAAGTGCATGACCCTCCGTCACACATAATGTACATTTTTTTCTTTTCTGCATAACATTTGATAACCATCTTTCAATCAAATGACAAAAAAAAAACAAATTCAGACAAAAATACAAATTTTCATGTAGCGTTTAGTTTTTTTGCATAATTGAACACACTGATGTCTTGCATAACAGGCTTGTTAATGAACAGTTTAAATGTATTATTCTAAATATATAAATTTTTGTGGGTTACATTAAACTATATTTTTGGCAATTTGAAATGAAAAGACACTGGAACAAACATAGCATCTTGTGGTCATTCAGTTCCGTCTCCTGCTTATTTTAGAGAAACTGCCCACTTGAATTGCTAATGTGTCATTGACCAGTTAGTTTTCTATTTTACCCAAAGTTTGTTGTCTACAAAGAAATAAGGAAAACATGAACAAATGATTACTGGAGGTTTTGACTTGCTTTCTAAAAAGCATTCTTGCGGTAACATCACTGCTATAAGTCAATTTGACTGTAAAAGGCAAATAAATTTTATTTAATATATAATATTATGCCTATGTAGTCCTTTGTAATAAAGATTTAATTGGCTATGGTACAGGTATCTTGATATCAGTTCCAAATCAAAACAATCCTGTTAGCTGTCAAAATTAAATGTGTCCAGGTGACTTTCTTGATTTGTTCAGCATTGTTGATCTTCTTTGCCAACGAAGTTAAAGCACCATAAAAATAATAATAATAAATAATAATAAAAACATTTGCTTTCTGTCTCCAACCATTGGCATTTCTTGTGCAATACATATGTTTCCTCAGTACTCTTTTCAACAGATGGTATTTTAACTCATTGGACTTGTTTTCACAAGTCCCCTTAAAAAAAATATAAAAAGAATATTTTATGCATTCATTTTAATTATCACTATTAAGGTGTTGGACGTGTTAGTTTTTATGAAAACCATCCAAAGAGAAGCCAGTGAAGAAGGACCTATGACGAAGGCTTTTCATCGTAGCTTAGACTCCGCATAAGTGTTGCGTGGAATGGACATGATCTTCTCCACACAAGACACACGTGTCTCCTGTAGTGAGCTGTGCCACACTGAGCTGGATGGTCGTGTCTCATCACTCCGACAGAAAGCGTAGGGTACGGTGTCTGTCCGGCTCCGGATGTAGGCACTACGCAGAAGGGCCCCACAGAACCGGCTAATGTGATCCACCCTCCTCAGGATAAGATGAGCTTTCCTGAGAGAAGGGACACCAGAAGTCACTCATCGTGTAGCTGCTTCTCCACTTTGATAAACTACAGTCTAAGTCAAGTACTTTCTGTTATAAGTACAACATTGTAGTGGGAAAGCAACCGATATGGCAGACTTTAGAAGTTCATATGTGGTATAAGATATCCAAGATCCAAGGACTAATCCAGGATCATGATCTGCAAGTCATAGAAAATGAGACATCACTCATTGCTGCAAAATGATACCTTTAAAACTTAAATATTAAAACATTAGCAGAGCCCTTTAAACTAGGCTGGGCAATATTGGAAAAATTTACATTGCAATATTGGAAGTCTTTTTGATAAATATTATGATATTTATAAACCCTATCCATACAGTCTGACTTTACTGGGAAAAGCAAGTCAGTAGCTAACATTCTGGTTAACTCACCAAAAGGTCTGTACTGGTAAACTGACAATTGACTCTCATTTAAAGCTTTACTTAGAGTGAATTTCACAGAACATAAATTTCAAGAACATTTTACAACCAAGAGAACCTACGTGTACATATAAAAATAACATAATAAAGCATAATGAAATTCCCTTACACTTGTTGCTGCAGGTTTTGCTAATAGACACACAGCAGTGCATGCTAACAAATCACTTGCTTTTGCTTAATATCCTCTATGGAACACAAAATATTTCCATGAAGTTAAAGACAAATGTTTTCTGGTGATCACTTCTTGTTTGCTTATTTACATAAGAACATAAGAACATAAGAAATTTACAAATGAGAGGAGGCCATTCGGCCCATCAAGCTCATTTGGGGAGAACTTAGCTAATAGCTCTCTCTCTCTCTCTATCTATCTATCTATCTATCTATCTATCTATCTATCTATCTATCTAACTATAGTGTTTAACTGTACAACTATACACACACAGATATATATTATTTATATATATTATTTTTTTTAACAAATGACTGGCTTCAAGAGAGCATGCAAAACTCTTGCAAAAACAGCAGAGGTAAACTTCAGAACAAATGAACCATAAACTTATTAGAGAATGGATAAACCGCATGTCCGACCAGGAGGAGGCCCCAGGGCAGACCCGGGACACGCTGGAGGGATTATATCTCTCGGCTGCCTGGGAATTCCTGGGAATTCCCCCGGAAGAGCTGGGGGAGGGGGCTGGTGAGAGGGAGGTCTGAGCATCCCTGCTTAGGCCCCGTGACCTGACCCCAGATAAGTGGCAGATGATGGATGGATGGATGGACGGATGGATGGAAGGATAAATCACAATTAATGCTATTCCATCCATCCATTTTCTGAAACCACTTGTCCTATTCAGGGTTACGTGGAGTCTGGAGTCAATGGGCACAAGGTAGGGAACAACCCAGGATGGGGTGCCAACCCATCAAAGGGCTCACTCAGACTCACAACATTGGGCAATTTGGTAACTCCAATTAACCTGAGCATGTTTTTGGACTGGGTTGGGGGGGTGGCGGTGGGGAGCTGAGTACCTGGAGAAAACCCCACGCCGACATGGGGAGAGTAGGCAAACTCCATACACATGGATCCGTGGCAGAGACTTAACAAGGTCAAACACTGCCAATCTTAGGCCATAGATAATACATTGTCCTTCATCCCTAAAGCCCAATCAGTCCCCTCTAAAATAATAATAGGACCTTCCTTAGGTCACTTTTTTTTTTTTACAAAGTTATTATATTATTTATGCCTCATAACATAGTTAAGAAGAGCTGTCCCAAGCATGTGATTCACATAAGCTTTTGAATCGGTTTCCTAACTCTACCAAAAGCAAAAATTACCTGGAACATTTATTAATTTAGTATAAATAGTTTAAGTGCACAGAGCCTTGATCCTTGTATACCAGATGTTACCCAATAATACGGTCAATCATATAAATAGGCCAAGCAGTGGTTTTAAGGACATTTCAATATCAGACTAGATAAACCTTATTTAAATCAAAGGATACACAAAAGGGTCTGTCTGTGAGTGTTTTAGAAATGTCAATAAATAAACCATTAAACACACTTAATAGTTGATGCACAAATGCAATATTTATAGCAACAGTATGATTGATACATTTAAATGTCAGTTCTAAGGGCAAAAGCAACAATAGTCATGATAAGATCCTGTAATTAAAACATTTTCAGAACCAGTGCAGACTGCTTCACCAAGTTTTTATCATTTCCAGAATTGTCTTGGAGAGTTTTTAAAGTTTAATTTTACTAGCAGCTGGACAAACATATCTGAAAAATAATGCTTCCTGAACTTTCGTCTTTATATTCAACAGCCGCAAACAAACAACCATAAAAACCATAATGCAAATTTAAGCAGCAGAGGTCATACATCTCACAAGCAAAGAGAAAAATGTTGAGGTCGCATTTTCAGAGGGAAGATTATATGGCATTCCCAGCTGCCACTAACTTAACAGTGACATTTATTTATATGTGTGCACATCTTTGGAAAAAAAGCGGGAAATGCCACACCCGTTCACATGGACTTGTTATGAAAAATGCAAGGGAGAAAACAAACAGAATAGAAGGCTAACAAAACAAATTGAGCATTGACTCATTCATAACCACTGTAATAACCAACGTGACCAGCTTTTCCCGGAACATTTCTTATGTTGTTTTTTTATGTTTTAATTGACAACTGTGATCCTACTAAAAGATTTGCTTATTCAAGTGTTTCTCAAACTCTGCATGAATGTAAGCATCCACAACACCCTCTGTCCTCACTAAGTACTGTAGACATTGTTAGATTTTAACCTCAAAGGGAAATTTATTGCTTTTGTGAAACTGATTCCTCAAGAAAGGATGACAGCACAGCTGCTGTTACGACTGTCTCTCTTTCTAATATTAATGCCATGTTTATAGAAATGAACATTATGCAAAATAACTTACACAAATGCTTATACAAGTAATTCTCTTTTAAAGAAAACAAATAAATTGATCCTGAAAGCATTGTTTTTTTGGGGTAGGGGGGGTACATCAAACCACAGACACTGATATTTTTTGGACGAAGATGATGTTCGTCATCACTACACCGACAATCATGGGGCAAACAGGTACATGCCACACAGAGGTAAGGCACTTGGGTGAGCAGAGAGGAGGAGAGCACTGGCTGTGAAAATGTTTGTCAAAAGCCACCTGCATGATCCTCAAATGTTTCAAGCAGAGATTTACGAGGTGAAACTTTCTGGCCCTGTTTCATCAGGAAAGAACTGCACACTGGCGTATACAGTGAACTCATCACACAGGGAAATCGTAAATATATATGTTTATAAGTTTTTGTTGAATCTGTTTTATATTTTACTCTGCCGTGCTGGTTCTGTAGGCAGGTGCTGAGTAAAGCCCAGTCTGTCATTACAGACAAAACTCATCCACTGCATCAGAGATCTGTATCCCTTCCTTCTCACTAGTAAGCTGTCCCACTTGAAGACCAATTGTTTTAAACTTGTCCCTTTAGTTACAAATCTTTGAAAATCTGTGGCTAGGTAAAGCTTACAAGTAATAGGAATTTTATTATTTTTTATTCATATATTTGCATGTATTGCATGTAGTCTGGTATTGCTGCAACAAAGTAGCCTTAGGGAAATTAATATATTGAACTTGACTTGAGGGAAATTCTACAAGTTTCCACCTTGTAGAAGTTGTCTAACAGGCAGCAAGACAATGACCCAAAACACACTAGAAATCCCACTATACAATGGTTTAAGAGGAGGCAAATAAGAGTTTTTTTAAACACTATTGTCAAAATACAGGCCTGAAGTGAGAGGTAGTCAGTTTTCATATAAGGACAACAAATATGGGAAAACTGTCATAATTAAATAAAAGGCATAAACATCAGACTATTGCTAGTCTATTGTTAGATTCTCTGTCTAACAAAGCTTCTAAAAAATATAAAAGAAAGTGAGGGGACATTCTCTGTTTGAACTTTTATAGCCAAACAACTACTTCATGTCAGAAATTATAGCAAGGGAAGCTGTTGTCGGTGTAGACAAATTGCTGGGCCGGCCTTCACTCAGTCACCGCAGCGGAAGCCTGTATTTGTCCTTGTTTGTGTCTATGAGTGTGGCAGTCATACTTGCTTCTGGTAGACAACACTGTGGCTTCGTGGCTGACCGGCGCTTCCCACTGCATCGTGGGGAAGCCCAACACCCAGCAAGGTCACAGCCAGGATACACAAACACTGCACCCCACACTTCTCTTTTCTCCCATAATACGTGGGCCTCAGTCAGCCACAGAAGAGAAATTAAAGGGAAAATACCGTTGAAGCTGGTCAGTAAATACAGTGTATATATTATTGTGGTGCTAAATAATATTAAAGGAAATCGAGAAAGCTGATTGTTAGTTTCAGATTGGTTCATTGCCATATTTAGGCTTTGTTGGGCTTTGTTGAATGGAAAACATTGCCTTAACAGAAGCAGACAACAGCTAGCAACTGAAATAGTTCTTAATGCTTTTGTTTTGCTCATAACTTAAATGGAAACCATCAGAAAATTTAACATAAATATTGAACATTAAGGCTGGACTTTAGTGCATCGTTGTTCAATGGCTGAGAAACTGTCCAGGAACCCCAGATGTGATTTTATGTGACCTTTACTTTTTTTTTTTTTTTTTTTTTACAATATATTGCATGATATTGATAATAAAATTACCGTAACTGACTTTCTGTTGGCGAGTATTAAGAATAATAACTGCAAAATGAAAATGGTTAAATAAAATGAATGTATAAAATAATCATGCACTGTGATGGACAGGCACCGTGGCCAGGACCTCCTCTCCCTGGGATTACTGGGTATGTTCCACGCTTGCTGCTGTACTACTCTGGATGAGTGGTTATGCAGGAGTAGACGGATGGACGCAATACAGACCAAATGAGAATATTATATAAACCTGGTGAAATGTCTAAGCAGCTAATGTTTCTGAAAACTGAGTAAGTCTGACCTGCTGTGAAGCGGCTTCTTATGAAGGGCCTGGTTTGAAATGTAAGCCAAATGAGGTCAGGAGAGGTGACTGGAGCAGACAGGGCAGGACTTGTCAGGCTCAGGTGGCTGGAGCAGACAGGGTGGGACTTGTCAGGCTCAGGTGACTGGAGCAGACAGGGCGGGACTTGTCAGGCTCAGGTGGCTGGAGCAGACAGGGCGGGACTTGTCAGGCTCAGGTGGCTGGAGCAGACAGGGCGGGACTTGTCAGGCTCACCTGGGGCCGAGCTCGTCCTCACTCCGCCACACGAAGTCGCCGAAGCGCTCATAGTGCGAGTCGTAGTGGTACTGCACCCGGTAGAGCATGGGAGGAGGAATGTCCATCAGCGTGTTGTACGCCATTTGCTGCTCCTTTCCGCTGGTGTAGCCGTTGTACAAGTTGTACACTTTGTCTGCGATCTCTGAAGAAGACATGAACACAATAATCTCTACTCACATTTTTTCAGATGCAAGATTTTTGTCAAGTATTGCTCTAATGCAGAAGGATGCAAAGATTTTGCACTGAACCATTCTGATAAATACGTCTGTGAAAATTTGTTTTATTGTTAACTTTAGGATGTTAAGTGAATCTGATGATTGTATATTTGTGCTCTATAGGTAATAAATACTTCATTTCATTTTAGTGATTTGGGAAACGCCCCCTCACCCACGTGTGTAATGGGCACATACCCTCTGCCATATTGTCATCGACCACGGGGCAGGACGTCCGGACAAAGACAAAGCTGGACTCCGAGTGCCGTCCCCGGCTGTCTATGGCGTGAAGCGTGAACCTGAGGGGGCAGAGAGACAGCTCTGTGCGCAGTGCAGTGCGAACCTGAGGGGGCAGAGAGACGGCGCTGTGTGCAGTGCAGTGTGAACCTGAGGGGGCAGAGAGACGGCGCTGTGTGCAGTGCAGGGTGAACCTAAGGGGGCAGAGAGACAGCTCTGTGCGCAGTGCAGTGTGAACCTGAGGGGGCAGAGAGACGGCGCTGTGTGCAGTGCAGTCCGCAGTGGCCATGCTAAGCTTTTCGTTTTTTAGGCCAGCACCACACCATCCACGACAAACTTGAAGTCCTTCATAAACGAATGATTGCACGGAGGCCATGAAAGACAGAGCTGAAGGGATGAAGTTTTCTAACACCAAGACAGGTTTCTTCATTTCCACGCTAAAATATTATGCGAAATGGAACATGCTGTTATTTCATTGTGTGACCCCACAGAAAAAAGAAAGCTTCAACTTACTGCAGGTTAATAGAAAAGATTCCCAAGGGTAATGTTACCTCTTCCAGCACAGATTAAAGAAATATTAGCCATAATAGTTTGGTTAATCACATATTATCTACCTTCTAATGACAGAATTCTGTTTAAAGATAAACTGTTGAAAACTTGTCTCATGTGAAAACTCATTTCCCTCACGGACAAAGTTATCCAGTTGTGTATCATGTTCCTAATCATGTTTTGAAAGTTAATGGAATGCAAAAAACATAGATTTCAGTGTCATCCCTTTGCTTCTGATTTGACCTACAATACTGGGGTAGAAATGAATTGATGTGCAAGTCACAGAGGATTAGACCGCTGGCTCTCATAAAAAGCTTTAATGCTCAGGATAAGTCTTCTGGGTACATGTGCTGCAAAGTGTGATTCCTAACGGCTCATTGTATGCTTTCGGATATTTACAGAAATAAAAGTGTCTCGCCACATTATCAAACTGCTGTCTCATTTTAAAGATTTTACAGAAAAATTAAAATTGACAATGTAAACATTTTTTATAAAGCACCTTTTTCAGTTGTATCTTACAGATATTATTTTCCTGATATGCTGCCACTGCCTAAATATAAAGTTCTGTCATGTTACAAACTAATACAAGATACTTGAAACACTTGCTATCACACGATTTTTTGATATACAGTGAGTATAAAAAATAATCACCCCCTGTCAAAAAAATCCTTTTTATCAGTCTCCAGTTATTCTTGTTTTTTGTTTTTAATTATTTTTCAAGACTGTTGCTATTTTATCTTTCACTTGGATATTATCAGCTGCATTGAGTAAATTAAGCTGGACAAATTCAGTTCTGTTGTGCTTTCACTTCAGTCTGTAAAATGACAAAACATTTTTTCTTTGACGGGAAGATTCTTTTCTATATCCATTGTACTCTCACTGGCCACAGGTACAGCTCACTAGCACTGGGTTGGACCCCCTTTGGCCTTCAAAATTGCCTTAATTCTTTGTGGCATAGATCCAACAAGGTTCTTGAAACTGTCCTCAGAGACTTTGGTCCATGTTCATATGATAGGATCATGCAGTACCTGCAGATTTGTCAGCTGCACCTTCTTGATGCGAGTCTCCTGTCCACCACATCCCATGGATGCTCTACTGGACTGAGATCTGCTGACTGTGGAGGTCATTTGAGTGCAGTGAACTCATTGGCATGTTCAAGAAACCAATTTGAAATGATTCGAGCTTTGTGACATGGTGCATTATCCTGCTGGAAGTAGCCATTAGAAGCTGGGTACACTGTGGTCATAAAGGGATGGACATGATCAATAACAATACTCAGGTAGGCTGTGACATTTTAGTGATGCTTAATTGGCACTAAGGGGCCCAAAGTCTGCCAAGAAAATATCCCCCACACTATTACACCACCAGCAGCCTGAATTGTTGGGCAGAATGGATCCCGGCTTTCATACTGTTTATGCCAAATTCTGACCCTATCATCTGAATGTCACAGCAGAAATCGAGATTCATTTCAGCAGACAACATTTTTTCCAGTCTTCCACTGTACTACTTTGGTGAGTCTGTGCCCACTGTAGCCTCAGCGCCCGGTTCTTAGCTGACAGGAGTGGCACCTACTGTAGTGTGGTCGTCTGCTGCTGTAGCCCATCTGTTTCAAGGTTCAATATGTTGCGCGTTCAGAAATGCAGTTCTGCATAGCTTGGTTGTGATAAGTGGGTATTTGACTCACTGCTGCCTTTCCACCAGATTGAACCAGTCTGGCCATTCTTCTCTGACCTCTGCCATCTACAAGGCATTTTCGCCCAAAGAGCCGCCATGCACTGGATGTTTTTTTTCTTCCATTTTCGGCCCATTCTCTGTAAAACCTAGAGTTATTTGTGCATGAATATCCTAGTAGATCAGCAGTTATTGAAATACTCATAGCAGCACGGGGGACCTTGGCTCTGTACTTTGTGCTTCTGGGATCACCTCCACTCACCACATCTTTGCTCAGGGTTTGTGGGATGTAACAGTGATTCAAATTGTCCATGCTTGGCTTAGCGTTATGCTACCCATATGAATCCATCATACAAAGACGGATATTGAAGAAATGCACAGTCAGGGTCGGGGTGACTATTCTGCAATCTGTGAGTCCACATAATGGGCTCAGTTATAATTTAGATAAAGAATAAGGAGGAAAATCAACAATGAATGCCCCTCTGATTTTGCTGAACCTCATTCCATTCCCACATCAAACAAAATGACTTCTTTGCTAGAGGGCTGCACAGGAATGGAGAAAGGGTGTAATACCGCGGATATCCATGGTAATCTGTAAGAATGGAGAAATCCAGCGGTAAGAGCGGAAATGGAGATGATCTTTAGGGTATTCCTGTGGGGATGGTAGTAGAACGTACCGGAACGCCATATTAATGGTAATGAAATTGCATATATACATATTCTTATATCTGCTATATTAATTATGAGTCCTTTTGCTCCATTAAATTATTTGTTCTCTTATTATTTGTTCACCTGGTGAAAGTATCAAGTGAGTAATTTCATTATTGAAATATTTAAGGGCAAATATGTTTAATTTTACTTTGTACTGCAGATGTGTTGGAGAACACAGGGAGGGGGTGGGGTGGTTTTCGGGCATGTGGGGAGGGGGCGGTTTTCGGGCACGTTGGGAGGGGGTGGGGCAGTTTTCAGGCACAGTGGGATGGGATGAGGTGGGGACAGTTTTAAGGTACGTGGGAATGGGCTGGGGACAGTTTTCAGGCACGTTTGGATGGGCTGGGGGCAGTTTAGATGCTAATGGGGACGGATTGGGATAGATACAGTATCATCCTTGTGCAGCTCTCTGTTCTTGGCCTCTGCTTGTCACACGGGTTCACATGGATTCACCAAACAATGTGCAGCGAGTATTACAAAATGGACCGGACAACAAAAATAACCCTAGAAAGGTGTACTCCAGTACTCTAGCACTTCACAGACATTCAGGGTAATAGCTATGGGTTTGCGTGTCTGGCATATTCATATAAACAAATGTCAGTGTTCATAAGCGCAATATAAAAGACAAAACTAAACTGTTGTCCAAAAAGAATATTACTGCCTATCTCAAGTCTGCCAAATTCCACTTGAATGATCAAAAGGACTATTGGAAGAATGTTCTGTGATTATCCAAATGTAGAACGTTTTGACACAGATAAAAATAAAATGCATTCCAGCAGAAAAACTTAATCACAACCGTGAATCATGGCAGTAGGAATATCATGGTTTGTGGCTGCTTTGCGACCTTGGGACCTCAGCGGTTTGCAGTCATTGAGGGGAAAACTTCTGTTAAAGTATGCTAGCAAACATCACAGAAGAGTGTTTATCCATACATGAGCTGAAGTGTAAAAGAAAAGGAGTTATGCAGCGCAACAACAATGCTACACACTCGACAGCAGGATGGCTAAAGTGGAAAATAAAAATCAGAATTTGGAATCAAAAACCCCCAAGCTCCCTCCAACTGAAGTGCTGCAGTATGACCTGAAGGGAGTACTCCAGGCAGAGCAGCAGAAAAATATACATTTTAGACAAATTTCTGCAGCGAAATAGGTCCAAATGCATTGAAGCTAGAGGTAGTGTCATCAATTACTATTACATCAAAAGGACTACAAACTTTTTCCAGTAGTGAATGATTGACTTGCTGCATTCAAAAAAGCCAGGAAATGGTATAATGGATTATTGTGTGACTTGCTTTAGTCAAATGCTCTTTGTTTATTGTTAGGACTTAGGATGAAGATAATGCAGTTAAAAATCCTGCAAAATATAGTTCTAAATTTCTCTCATCACTGTATCTCAGTAATGCATAGCTTGATATACGTCAATTGGTAACACTTTACTTGAACGGGCACAAATAATACAGTATTATGCTATTACTTACGTATTAACCACAAACAAAATTTAAGTTACATTCCGATCTTATGTTAATTTATTATTAATGAATAGTGATGCATATTTTATCTCAAGCAGTTACTGTATTTGTTACTATATGTGTTAATTCTGTAAACCTTTATGAACTACTGAAGGAACTATTGCAGGAAGTCATAAATAACACAAGTTAAATACAGATCTCATATTTGTTCATCATTAATGAATCATGATGGATTTTTCATCCCAAGCTAGTTATTATATTTGTTACTATACATTTTAATTTTGTTACCTTTGTGAACTACTAAAGGAACTAAAAAGGAACCATTAAAGGAACTAAAAAGGAACCACTAAAGGAAGAGGTAAGGAGAAACACAAGTGAAATACTGATCTCATGTTTGTTCATCAATGAATTGTTGCAGCTTTTCTCAAGTAGCAACTATATATGTCCATGATTTGTTCATAATTTGTACTTGAGTAGTAACTGAAGTATTTGTGCCCTATCAAGTAAAGTATTACCCACTAATTTAAAGCAAACATTTGGTGATGATGGCCAGTACCTTTGCTGTCATTCTCTTCTCAGTGAAGAGCTTCTCCTCCTGGCCAGTTTGCTGCCTTGCATTCCTGTTGTGATGTTGTCAGACCACAGCAAGCCTAATACTGTATAATCTGTACACCTAACAAACATAACTGAAGTCGCCCTCACCTGTTTGAAAATCAAATAAAGATACTACTTATAACTGGTCAAATAATCATTCCTCTATTATCAGACACAGAAAGAAAATTTGCACCTGGAACTGCTAATCAATCAATAGGCATATTACATACAGTATGCCAGAAACTTCTGTTCAACTTTTCAAAAACGACCAATCCTTCTCTGACAGAGTTCATGACCCAAATCGCTAAAATATCCAGGAATTACAAATTTGTTGCCAGCACACATAAATTCTCAGAAAATGCAATTCTGTTGAGGGGAAAATCGATATTTCCATGCCTTCATAGTAAGAACTTGTTTTAATAATATCAATAGTACCACTGATGAGTTTTCACATACAGAACCATGTTCAAAGCACCATATATGAGATATGAGTCTGCAGGGGTCATTAATAATAATAATAATACTTATTATTATTATCATCATCATCATCATCATCAGAGGTGGAGATTTCCAGTCCAGAGACTATGAATCCAACCAGTTTAGTACTCTGTGACTGTGACTCCTTATACTGGTTGATTGAAACAAAATCTTGGTCTGGACTTTTACTCTCTGGATCTGAAATTTCCACCTCTGATTATTATTATAATTGTTATTATTAATAATATTATTATTATTAGCAGTAGTTGTAGTAGACCTAAATAATTTCATACCATAAAGCCAATAAAATGGTAATATTTTAATAAGACAGACTGTCCTGATATATAGCAGTTCCAAACAATCGAGCGTAAATACACCGTCAATCAGCTGCCTGTAATATTTACTGCTATCGGCGTACATAATATGAGGGGACAGAGATGGACTGCCAGTAAAAATGCTGAAGAATAATATTGGCAAGAGACAACTGTCTTTTCTGCTTTCTTTTCTCATGGTTCTCTAGCTTTCATTCTGAGTCTTTCATTAGTGGTCACTAAGTTATTTCTATTGTACCCCAGAGCTAGATCACGGCATCATATTAAAAAAAACGGAGAAGTGACGCAGCAGGTGCAGCGCCGTTATTTTTTTATATAATACACTCTGTACCACAGGTAAATATAATGACACTCTCACAAAGTTTGGATGCTAAGAATCTTCTTTCCCGACTGTTGCTGTCTTTTAACATAATAATGTCTTTTAATGGAACCTTGTCAGCTATGACGTATAAAAAATAGCATCATTGCCTTATTCTAGATACTAACAAAGACATTCGGCAGTCAGCAGTTACAATTATATTAACACATTATTAAGAGAAAAAAATATGTAAAAGCCTACTTTCCCAATCTGTTCTAGAAAGACTTATTTTGACTGCATATCTATGAAACCACTAGAGGGCATATTTTTTTATCGTAAACTGATAAACTAGAATGGACATGTAGACCAAGAACGTTTACTGTGGTAAAGTTTATGCATTCATGTAATCAATTTATTTTAAACCAGTAAATAATTACAGCTGCACGAAATTTAACTTTTTTCCATAGGACTTTATATCCTGAGGCTTATATGCTTTTGAACATTTAAAGCTTTCATCATGTTTTTGTCTTTTATGTTTTTAACACAATTTAACACAAAAGTAAATGTGTAAGATATAAACACTGAAATATTTGATACATAAATAATAAATTGAGCAATTTCTATTTTCTATAATATGATTGATTGTAGAAAGGTCAAATTTATTTTGAATTATCTTGACAAGCCTTAACTATTCTATATTGAAGAAATGGCACCATGAACCATATGGACACGGTGCTATGTTCACTTAATGGCCTATGGAACAGAGCGAAAGAAACCTGGTGAGGACTGCCACCCTTAAAGCTATCTTCTAAAATCTAAAAAGCTCTACACAGTCCAATGGTGGAAGTCTGTCAACACTACGAAGAAAACTAGAATAAGATGGTGTCAAAATGAAAGCCATTATGATAAATAGGCTGCATAGAACATAGCACGAGGCAGTCGAGTGACTGTCAAATAAAATAACTGGTCAAATGACCAAAGTAGAATAATCCAGTGAGAGTTATATTTCCCAGTCATGCTCCTTATGACCCGTTGATATAGAGAGAGACCTAAACAAGAGCCAAAAAGGTGCTAAGTATAACATCAAAACTACCGTGAACTCGCTTATCATTTAAAATGTGAAAAATGTGAAAGCCTTAGAATGGGCAGGCGAACATTATAAAAGGAAAAGTGCACCAAAGCCAGACCAAAAACCACTGGGATAACTACTTCCAAGAATGCTTTCCCAAACATAAAATTCTGATTACAGATAATAATAATAATAATAATAATAATAATTTTCAAAATATAAGTGATTGTGTCTATTCTTCATTACTTGTTTTTACATGTTAGCAATAAATGTATATGTCAGCTAAAGGAGGCAATAGGTAATAAATATTTTTTTGTAAATATGAAAAACCATTTATAAGTCCAGCATATATTCCTTATCCTTTAGTTTAACAAAATAGCATGCGTACCTAAACCAACGTCTTGGCTAATGAATAATGATTTCCATAAATAAAATATATTTTAAACATTGAGCTGCTGGGTAACAGTTCAGAACAAAACATTCCAGTTGATCCCAGTGAGCATTATTCTTTGTTCCACAAGCTTTCAGTTGAGAATGATAAAAATCTGAAATCCACAAAAACAGAAGGATGTATACTACAAGATTATTTTAACTTTTTCCCAAGGGGACATGCCAAAGAAACCAGACCCCAACAGCCTGGTTACCCCCAGTTACTGCATCACGCGATCCACCAGAAATGGAGCTTTAGGACATGCATTTCATTGTAAATACAAAAATAAAACTCCACCACTAATTTTCTCAGACGTCCACATCTATAGTTCTCAGGAATTATTTACACTGATGAAGACCCCAGAAAGCTATCGTACGGTAAAACCTTATAACAAAAGGAGAGAATGAAATTATTTTTGAACAAACATGCAAATGATACAGTGAACAATTTCATAACATAAATGGTCCTGGAAACAAAAATGTATCGCTTTCCAATAGAAGCTTGTATCAATGTTAGAGCAGTTTTCTTAGGAAACAGAAGAGTGTGAGAAGCATCATTCTTCTGCTGTTATTATTTAATAGGAAATAGAAAAACCCACGGAAAGTTTCAGATTCTCCACTGGTTCCAGCAGTACCAACAAATACAGTGTTTTGTAGTCATCTTCCACACTAACTGTAACCACTTCGTCTTCTATTGCAAAATTCTATGACCAACAATAAAGCAACTATTCACCACTTCCACGCTGGCATACCAAACAATTCCGCAGAATAAAAACAATGTGCTTTCCAAATAAAATTTTTGAAATGCACCCTTTATCAATAAAAATGTCACTTAAAGCAAACATCCAATACAGTAAGTGACGTATGTGTCCTAGGAGATGCTGATCATATACTTGCTACTGTCCAAGGAACCAAAGGTAGTGGAAGTTACATGTGAAAAATTTAATTGCTGGATTGTGAAAAAATCCAGTTAATTAATGTAATGGTCTGGGAATTGTAAAGCTTTAATACAAACAGAAACTCGTTCTATCTTGGTTTGGTAAATTAAACGGTACAGGACATTCCCACTCCATTTCAACACCATAAATAATCACACCCACCATGAAATGTATTCATAAGATAAACAGCATCCACTTTGTCATATCAACTAATAGCTCCCTCTAGTGGATCACCTGGAAAAAAAGCAAACAAAAACACAAAAATATACATAACAAAAACTATACATAAACAAAAAAAACAAACAAAAATTAAATATTAATAAAATAATAATAGTAACAACCATGCATACAATAAATACACATTATTGTAGTTTTATTTGAATTTATGAAAATACCTTAATCAGCAGTGGGGGCCTAATGGTTAGCGATGTGTGCTTGGCATTGAAAAGCTCCTAGCCTGAATTCCGGACCAGCAAGGCACCACTAAGGTGCTGCTTTCGAGGTGCTGAATTAGTTGCCCACTGCTATGTTGTAGATGGGTTAAATGCAGCAGACACGTTTTGCTGCGGTGTGTCAACAATGACAAGTGATAATGACGTAATTATAATTTTTGATTAATGCATGACATACAATAAATAACAGAACTTTCCAAATTGAAAACATTATACATATATTCTGATAAGCTAATTGACAAAATATATGTCTAGCCAGGGAGCTAGTAAGCAGTTTTTATGGTGGTTCATACTGATTTAAAATAATGCCATCCGGTGGAGCTTGATAGCTATAAAACATTTCATGTTTTTTGGAAATCCAACTTGATAGGAATAAAATAAATGGAACTTTAATCTGACCAGTTAACTTTTTTTTAAACAATCCATTTCTTTAAAAAATCCATGATTTTGTTTTTGCTCTACAGCCTGAAAGCAGACAGACAGACAGACAGACAGACAGATAGATAGATAGATAGATAAATAGATACTGTAGATAGATAGATACAGTAGATAGATTTAATGGAAGTGAAGATGCATAAAGGAATGTTCTTAGAATCCAACTGGAAAGTGGATTCTGTACTTTTTCCAATAATAATTTACAAAGCATATTTGGAAATCTACATGACTTTAAGAATTACGCCATCGTACTAGAAAGGCAGATGCATAGTTATTGTATCAATTACATGACAACAAAATTTCTTGATTTTTAGAAAATTACGATAAATTATGTTTCTGTTGAAGGAATTAACATGCAAAACTACTATCATTGATTAAGTTAATTTGAAATATAAAATATTGAAACTGAACAAATATTTAAAAAGTACATGTCTTCTGCAGTAGTAAACTGATATGGTTTATAATTACCATGGGAAAGAACACTATTATTTGCTGGAAAGAACTCGAAGGAATACTTGGTGTGTGGGTCTTACTGTAGGTTAAATAAGGTGTAACATCTCACTTGTAGAGGCTGTCAGGCTCCAGGCATTTGAAGATCAGAGAGTAGAGAATGGAGGCGGGATGATCACTGTAGCGTTTTCCAGCCACGACGCAGGAGGATCCCAAGCCGGCCAAGAGGTCCTCTGCAAAGCTCAGCACCTCCCCTGTGCAGAGAGGGAGAGCAGCGTGCGCACACACACACACACACACACACACACACACACACACATGCACACACACACACACACA